CCTCGCCCCTTAAACTGGAGACGTGGTCGGACTCTCTCCCAGCCTGGCTCCAATTAGAGGGTTTGGACGGAGGGAGGGAGGGAGGGAGGGGGGAGGGCCAAGGCGGAGAGGTTTGGGGGCGGAGAGGTTTGGGGAGGGGAAGGAGGGAAGGGAAACTCCCCTCCCAGGGAAGGGTAGCCGGGAAGGGGGATCGGGCTCCTCCTGGTTTCAGGGGGGAGGAAAAAAAACACATGGAAAAAAAGAAGAAGGGGGTAGGAAAACGAGAGAGAAATCGGAGAACTCCGTCCTGCTATAATACCAAGGCGGAGAGGTTTGGGGGCGGAGAGGTTTGGGGAGGGGAAGGAGGGAAGGGAAACTCCCCTCCCAGGGAAGGGTAGCCGGGAAGGGGGATCGGGCTCCTCCTGGTTTCAGGGGGGAGGAAAAAAAACACATGGAAAAAAAGAAGAAGGGGGTAGGAAAACGAGAGAGAAATCGGAGAACTCCGTCCTGCTATAATAACAGCGCCTTTTGGACGGGGGGATGATGGGTGTTGTAGTCCCCATCCGCACCGCCGCCCGGGTCGGGGCGGATGGGGAGACTACCTTGAACCCCCATAGGGCTGCGCTTTCTAAGCAGGCGACGCGGGTGGAAAGAAGCTTCCCCCTGTGGTCCTCCCGACCTGGGAGTCTCGTCTTCCAGCACTATCCCTGTTTTGTTTGCTTGTTTGTTTTGATTTGGTTTTTTTTTTCTCTTTCTCTTTCTTTCCGTTTTTGGGAATGCGGCTCGTCCTCCGAGGGCCCTCCCCGGAATAAAAGTTTCGGCGGTGCCTTGCTTGCCGCCCCACGGACCCAAGCTGAAGGAATGTTTTAATGTTTGGTGTACAGTATTTTTTTAAAAAAGTCTCTGAGGTTGTATTTTTGCTGTTTCTGTTCTTTGTTATGTTAAACTGTATTTGATTGGGGGCGCGCGTCTGGGTGTATGCGCGCGCATAAATAAAAATTAAGTCATTAAATAATTAATTAAACGATGACACGGATAAAGTCAGCTTAGGGCTCGCCTCCATCATCTGTCCACTCCCTCCCCTGTCAAATGCCACTGCTAGGGCTACCCAGGGGCTGCCCTTAGGGCACAGAATCGGAGAACGGCTGGGCTGGAAGGGACCCTAAGAGGGCATCAAGTCCAACCCCACTGAAGCAGATAGCTCACACCCAGAATTTAGCACGTGTCTTGTGCTAAAGGGATGTGGTGGTGCTGCGCCTCCATCATCTGTCCACTCCCTCCCCTGTCAAATGCCACTGCTAGGGCTACCCAGGGGCTGCCCTTAGGGCACAGAATCGGAGAACGGCTGGGCTGGAAGGGACCCTAAGAGGGCATCAAGTCCAACCCCACTGAAGCAGATAGCTCACACCCAGAATTTAGCACGTGTCTTGTGCTAAAGGGATGTGGTGGTGCTGTGGGTTAAATTAATAATACCTCTGTGCTGCAAGGTCAGAAGAACAAGCAGTCGTAAGATCAAATCCACATGATGGAGTGAGCTCCTGTTGCTTGTCCCAGCTAAACAACAACAATGATTTTTCAGGATGCTTGTAATACGAAAGCCCTCCCCCAAGAATAAGCCCTAGCGAAGCCCCACCCTCCACTCTTGTGCAGCAAGCAGAATATGACATGACTGTATTTGAATAAATGTAGGTGGTTATACATGAAAAAAATAAAACATCCCCTGAAAATAAGCTCTAATGCTTTCTTTCGAGCAAAACTTAATATAAGACCCTGCTGTTTTTTCGTGGAAACACAGTATTGTTATTGTTGTTGATACGAGTTTTAACAAAAACAAAACTAAGTATCTGTTAAATATCAACATAGTATATATACTGTTCCAAATATTTTGAAGCTCTGAGGATGTTATTTCCAAAATCTGCAACTGCTTATAGTACTGTGTGAAGTTTCTTGATATTGTTCCCAAAGCCCCGATGACGACAGGGACCACGGAAGTGTGTTTCATCCACAAGCGAGACGTTTCAACGGCCAAGTCTCTATACTTCGGTAGCTTTTCCAATTCTTAATCTTCAACTCTGGCATCCCCTGGAATTGCAATGTCTATTATTCAGACATTTCAATCACTACTACGCCTGGTGTGTTATGTTTAGGTGTCTATTCGTTTGGATCCAGAAATCCCACAAGACCTTGACTTCTTCATTTTCTGATACCTCCTCTACCTGATGTTCCCATGGGTTTTTGGAGACTGGCAATTTATTATTGTTATTTTCATAATGACCAGTGCACCCTATCATGTCCAATTTTGTAGTCTGTTGTTATAGTTATTAAGATTTTTCTGCTGCTGTTGCTATCACCATCTTTAAGAGGATCTGTCATTAGCATGCAAAGAACATCTGTTTCAGATTGTGTCCTTCCATGTCCCAATCAAATTCTACATGATTCTGGTGCATTATAGAGGCTATGCTGGGGTGGGAAGACTAGCAGACAAGGAAATGACCCCAAAACAAAACAAACGGGATCCCTTCCTGATCAGAAAAGGCAAGACTGGCAGTAGCGGTTGGGGAAAAAAAATCCATTGTGGACTACAATTCCCAGAATCCTCAGGATACTGATAGAGCCATCCACCTTTGCCTAATTCTGATGGCCGGTTTTGTCAGAATCTGTAAACTGGAAAGCTCAAACAAGATCTTAAAACCCCTTTTGGGGTGTTTTTAACAGTGGCTGCCTTGCACCTATATATACGTAGTTCAAAGGCCATGAGTCTAAAAGACCAGCAGCTATTTCAATCTTTATCCCCATCCAGCCTCCCAAAATAGGCTTGCACCTGTATATACGTAGTTCAAAGGCCATGGGTCTAAAAGACCAGCAGCTGTTTTGATCTTTATCCCCATCCAGCCTCCCAAAATACAGAAGTGGAAATAAAATAAAAACACCAAGAGATGATGATGATTGATCATTTCACTCAAAACATGTGTTTTCTCGCTAGGTGAGCCTTTCCTTTATCTTTTTTAGCTTTTACTGGTTCATACTCAATTGCTTTAGGTAGGGAGGTGGGTTTTTTGGGGGGGTTCATGGAGGGAAGGGAGGTGGGTTGTTGAAGAGGGGGCACCCTTTGCACCATGATCAATCCAACACAAAAAAATATCTGTGGAACACCCTCCCTTGTCGGGGCCCTAAGCATGAGCTCCTTTTCCTTAATGGTTAATCTAGGGGCTGACTAGAAGTCCCATCGTCCCCTACCCACATCTGGGGGGGGGCATGGAGAAGCCAGAGAGAGCTTTCTCGTTTGGGGTACAAAGCAGGAGGCTCATGTTCGTTCTGAAGTGTGATTCCTCTGGGGGGGGGGGATAAAAACTTTTCAGAATGGGGCCAGGTCTTCGGTGGCTTGGAAAAGGGCTGATATAGGAAGGAAAGTAAAAAGTTTTTTTTGGGGGGGGGGGGAAGAAGAAGCTAAGTCCCTGAGGAATAAGGCCATAGGATGTGGGCTTATTCCCTCTCTCAGCACATTTTTTCCCATCTGTTTTCTCTCCCCCACCCCATCCCTTTTTCTAATCCTTTTCCGTCTCCCTCCATGGGGGGGGGGGACACCAGACAATCCTACAGTTGACTCAGCAGAGTTAAGATTTTGCTGAATTAGAAACCTCTCCCCTCCTTCTCTTTTGGCCTTTTCCGTCCAAATCTTCGGCAAAAAAAGATAAAAGCAGCAGGGGTGTGTGTATGGAAGAACCCCATGTGTAGGTTTCCCCCCACACACAAAAACACACTTATTTTTTCATGAATCCCCATAGTCCATCTTAAGCTCAAGGGACAGACACGCAGAGAGTCGTAAAATTTTCTCTCCTCCATGGAAAAAGGGCCATAATCGTTCCCGAGTCGCCTCTTTCTTCTCCGACGAATCCCTCAAAAATCAGAAAATTTGGGATTTCCCCCCCTTCTGCTCCCTTTTTCCTCCTCCGCCCCCGTTTCACCAGCCCTCAGGAATCCTGCCCCGCCAGCCCTGACCTTCCCCTTATAGGACATCCATGATCCAACCCTGAAGGATAATGCCTTCCTCTCAGGTAGCAGGAAATGAGACCTGTGTGGACGCTGAAGCCTATTTCTCTTTTCCCCCAGAGCGAACCCAGGCGTCCTGGATGCCAGCCATCAAAAGAGAAGAAAAAAGAGCACGCCAGAGGAAAGCGGAAGTGGGAAACCTTTTATATATATATATCTAAGATCAGCAAAATGTAAACGCCAGGAACCATGTCTGGAGACCAAGAGAAAGCAATCCAGTTTCCATGGGATGGGGAGGGAAGGCGAGAAAAAAATAACCAGAGAGAAAAGAATGAAAGAAAAACAAAGACAGACCATGTGGCGGATACACCCAGTTATTCTAGATTAATTAATTCAAAACACTTACTGCCCTAGTTCTGTATCTGCCAGGCGGGAATTCACATCCGCCTGCACAGCGCGAGTGGAAGGAGAAAGGCCCCGTGTTAGCACCCTAAAAATAGTACGATTGTACGCTAGTGCAAATAATATAAAAATGTGGCTGCTGCTCCGGAGATCTCAACACAAATTTCTTGCTAAACTGCGAGGTGGAGAGGCTTTGAGAGGACACAGGAAGACCATCCTTCTTTAACTCACCCAGATGTTTGAGAATGGATGTTGGTTTCTGGATAGACCACAGGATGCACTCTGTGTATGCTCAGAGTTTGTCTTGTCCTTTTTTGTCTTTGATCTTGTATGTTCTCCTTTTGCAGCAGATGCTCAGATTTCTCTCTCTCTCTCTCACACACACACACACACACACACAAACGCACACACATTAGAGTTTTTGCCTCTTTATGCTTTAACCATACTGTGTTACCCAGTCATATTCATCTTTTCCTACACGTGTGAACACTGATTAAGGTAGAAAGCACAGTACATGATCTGCAGTATCACATGTTCAACCAGGGAACACGACTCCTAGCAGGGTCACTTATTGATGTAGGTGAGAGCCTGTCTTGGTTTTGCACATGCCACTACGGTTGTTTGTTGTTATTTAGTCATTAAGTGATGTCCGACTCTTCGTGACCCCCATAGACCAAAGCACGCCAGGCCCTCCTGTCTTCCACGGCCTCCCGGTGTTGGGTCAAATTCATGTTGGTTGCTTCGGTGACCCTGTCCAACCATCTCGGCCTCTGTCGTCCCCTTCTCCTCTTGCCTTCACACTTTCCCAACATCAGGGCTTTTCCAGGGAGTCTTCTCTTCTCATGAGATGGCCAAAGTCTTGGAGCCTCAGCTTCAGGATCTGTCCTTCTAGTGAGCACTCAGGCTTGATTTCCTTTAGAATTGATAGGTTAGTTCTCCTTGCAGTCCAGAGTTTCCTCCAGCACCACAATTCAAAAGCATCCAAGGTCAGCCTTCTTTAGGGTCCAGCTCTCGCTTCCATACATCACTACTGGAAAAACCATAACTTTGACTATTCCGATTTTTGTCGGCAAGGTGATGTCTCTGCTTTTAAAGATGCTGTCTAGATTTGTCATTGCTTTCCTCCCAAGAAGCAGATGTCTTTTAATTCTGTGGCTGCTGTCAACATTTGCAGTGATCACGGAGCCCAAGTAAATAAAATCTATCACTGCCTCCATATCTTCCCCTTCTATTTGCCAGTAGGTGGTGGGACCAGTGGCCATGATCTTAGTTTTTTATATATATATATTGAGCTTCAGACAATTTTTTGCGCTCTCCTCTTTTATCCTCATTAAGAGGTTCTCCTCACTTTCTGCCATCAGAATGGTATCATCTGCATATCTGAGGTTGTTGATATTTCTTCCGACAATCTTAATTCCGGTTTGGGATTCCTCCAGTCCAGCCTTCCGCATGATGTATTCTGCATATAAGTTAAATAAGCTGGGGGACAAGATACAGCCTTGTCGTACTCCTTTCCCCATTTACCACTATGGTAAGATTGTACAATTCCTTCCCTCTCCCCCACACCATCAGGAAATACTAGAGAGGAACAGCGGCCTCTGGACACTAGTTTAAACAAAAAAAATCAGCAATAAAATCAGGCTTCCCTCAGTAACCAGCTACCTGTGTGTGAATTTTAAGTAAGACTGTTATGCATCAGTGCTTTGATTTAGTTCTACTTGTATTTTCCATTTGTGTTTTACATTTCTCAGAGTGGCCTTTTTAAAAAAAATGTAAGCCTATTGATCTTTGCCTTAATAATGCTTGTTAATGATATAAAATGCCTCCTTATTCACTGTTCGCAGTTCTAAATATTGTCTTTTAATAACATTAACCACCGTTGTGCACTAATTGTTTTCAACTTTAAATACTGTGTTGTCTTTAATTATTGTAAACCCCTCGGGTCTTTTACGAGGAGAAAAGCGGGGTGAAAATATTTTAAAGGAAGAAATAATAGATGATAGATAGATAGATAGATAGATAGATAGATAGATAGATAGATAGATAGATAGATAGATAGATAGATAGATAGATAGATAGATAGATAGATAGAACTCTGCCAAAACATGAAATAACATCAGCCACCACTAAAAGACGTTTGAAGGTCCACATATAGGAAGGTAAGTATTTGAACAGCTTAAAGAAAATTGAGAAGACCATTGCACATGGTCTCTAAGGCATCTGACATTAAAATATTTAATTAAAGTATTTAAGATGCGACGTGATTGTTTTGTGTGTGCGTGTGTGGAGATGTTGTGAATTTCAATCGGATATAATTTTTCCCAGTTCTAATATTATTGCACTAGTAAAAAAAAAAAGGGGGTGGGGGAAAAGGCCTTGATGAACTACAAATCCCACATTCCACAGGAATCCCGTGCAAAGGGTTAAACTCGGCCACGGAAAACAGGAACCGAGGCAGGAATGTTAACTCCAGCCCTGTATGCGCATGCGCCATTTAAATCGCGGCCATTTGAGGCCCGATGGGCGGTGGCGGTGTCGCCTCGCCCAGGCGCCTGCACCAACGCGTCGCGGCCGGTAGGTGGCGCCGGAAGCGCCGATTCAATTA